ATTGTAGTGTTATACAACATTACTATCAAATTTTTAATTTCATCTAACCAATTTATATCATTAGTTACATGTAAAATTATAATTCTAAATCAAACAATATAACCTGTTGTCAACATAATTATAGTGATTTATTTTCAACTCTAAATATCTTCAAACTAATGAAATATGAAGTTATTAATGAAGAAAATCAGTCTGGATAACATCAGACTGACTGCAGGTAAAATATACCACAGGTCTGGACCACTCCTGAGTTTTGTTCATATTTGAAGAAAATCTTAGAATATGAGAAACTTGGTGAATGATAAGTTCTCCTAAATCAGTCGTACGCACAAGTTAAGAACAAATCTGTTCATAGCAGTGGTTGTTGCATCAGGCCCAATGATGACACTGTTGTAATGAGTTAGTTGTAACTTCCTGTGTGTGGTGTATCTCAGGTGTGCAGGTTATCTCTTCCAGAAGGTGGGTAAGGTTGCTGCTACAGCTGTAGGAGGAGGCCTGCTGCTGCTGCAGGTACGTCTGGACCACAGCTCCTGAATTTAAATCTTTCAGTGTGTTCACCTCTGATGTGGATCCCTTTACTTCACTCTTTATTTCTCAGGTTGCCAACAACAGTGGTTATATCCAGGTGGACTGGAAGAGAGTAGAGAAGGATGTGAACAAAGCCAAGAAACAGTTACAGAAAGGAACAAACCAGTCTGCTCCAGAACTAACCACTTTTGTTCAAAAGGTAAGAGTTTTTTCTCACATTTGAACCTTTCTCTATATTTTTAGGACTTTTTTAAAAGCAGAAACAGTCGACAAATCTCTGCACACTACTAACTAATAATCCTGGTTCTACATCAACACATTTGATTTGAACGTCTGRTTTCAGGGAAGAATCCAAAGACAGTTTTAGTTTGAGTAGGCCTACGCTTTAACTGTATACTTACAAGACATGAAGCCAAAAAAGGAAAATCAGAAACAAGAATCAGACCAGTGACAGTAYTGGTTTTAGCTCCTAAATCCTATAAACAAAACAAAACAGTTTTTACTGCACAGCAGGGCCACTTGTTAGTCAYTTCACATTAATATGTCCTTCTTCTGCGTCCTTCCTACAACTATCTACAGAAATAGTAACATGACATCAGCTAGCTTACTTGTTCACTAGAATTTTTATATTGACCCTGTTTAAAACAATAGGATTGATGCCGTTTCCACAAGGTGATTTAATGGTTTTATTTATTTTATATATATTTCTTTTTCAAAAGACCTTAAATGTCATTAAAAATCATTGAATTTGACATTTGTTGACTTCCGGCTAATGGCGGCATAGTGTAAGTCGTGTTTGAGTGTGCTCCCGCAGAGTTGGCTCTTTTTCTAATTACCAGTGGGCACTTTCTCTCAGTTTCGTTTTCAAACGACACCTAAGAGTTTTTCATATAGTGCACTTATTGGTTCGACTACTAAAATGCCACCAAAGCC